TATAATATTAAATATATTAAATAATTGATATATTTAACATGCTCCCAATGTCCTGAATGGTGAAGATTAAACGCTAACTTTACTTGCGAACAAGTAGAAAAGCCATTGCGAACAGACTAATGTTGCCGACGTCGAAAGAGGGAAAAGGTTGACGCGTGCTGAAGTCGTGCACGACTAATTTAGAAGAGAAACAAAAAGAATGAAATGTTGATAGGGATGCTTGTTAACTGAAGATATGCCAACTGAGCAATCTGATGTGACAATCTCATCTTAAATCAAGAAGCGACAGTGATGGATCTAGAAACGGACGGTTGTGGTTGGCTATGAATATATATATATTTTTGCTTGATGGAATTATGAAGGAATAAGGATCAAAGGAAGAACAAGCTAAATGAAAGTGAGGCCGCCGTTGCCGGACAAACCATCGGCGACGGCGGAAGCAGTAACTATTAGGTCACTAAGAGCAAAGGCTCTGATACCATGTAAAAATATTAAATTACGCTTTATTGATTAAATGAATAAGATAAGAATACAAAGTATGTATTTATAGCTGAAAGAATATATTCTAGAATCCTTCACATTAATGACTAATTATATAAGGTAAAATTATATAATAATAACTCTAACTATAATCATAGGTAACATTCATAATTATAATATATAGTATTAAATATATTAAATAATTGATATATTTAACAAATAGGCAAAGAGAAGTGTATATAATAAAAGAGAGAGGTGATGGTGACTCTTAGACAAGGAAAAATGGAGGGGGGCCAAACCTATAGAGAGGAAGGGGGGAGGAATTTCAAAAGTGGGTCCGTAATTAAAAAACTTTTCAGAACGGTGCACGCTTTTCCCCCAAATTGCTCCGAATCGAGAACCAATTCCATTTTGGGAATAAATAGTCAAAACTAAATTTATTATATTTTCAAAATAGTTTTCTCAAAACTTTATTTTTAAATCACACGGTCCATCTCAATCATCAATTTATTTATTTAATTAATATTGAGAGTCTCGTTATTTATAAAATCCTTCTATTATTAAAAATAGATTTTCTTTTGAAACCAATTTAAAGAGATCAAAACCCCAATATTTATTATTTAACATATTGAGTCTCAATAAATAGATATAATATTTATTTAAAATATTAACTAACTATTAGATTGATTTATAGGGCGTTACAACTCTTTAACATGATGAATCTGTCAAATACATAACGGCCTTTTGGTGGTAAGACAATTGTGTTTAGAGGAGATTTTTTGTCAAATTTTACTTGTCATTTCTAAAGGAAGAAGACAAGACATTGTCAATGCTACCTTTAACTCTTTATACTTATAAAACTATTGCATTGTGTTACGTTTGACAAAAAACATGTATTTGCAGTATGTGTACCACGATTAGATCATGACCGAATTTGCCAAGCGGATTGCAAGTATCGGTGATGACTTAGCCAAAGGAGAAAAATGATTGAGTTCATGAGGTTATTATCTCTGAAGATATGTTATTAAAAACACCGATTATCCAATTATCTCTATAGTGAATTCAACCTATCTAGACTTTCACAATATCATAAATCATCCAACATATTTGTATAGTCAGGCTATCATTGCATCAACTCTAGACATTGTGGATGAAATCTCCTATATTATATAAATGTGAAAGAGGGTTTGGTACCCCTTAATAAGATGTTCTTTTTCCATCCAAAAAATAGGTACATTATGCTTTAAATCATGTACATTGTTTTTTAATACCAACCTTACCCATACACCGTTAGTTTTCTCCATCCACTTATATTCCTAATAAATGCCATTTAGTGTCATAGTCTTAGACACACACCAATTCTCATGAAAAGAAATTTAGCTCTTTAAAATTTTTCTTTCATTATCTAATTGTGAGATGACTATCTCGAATTATGCTGCTTATAACATCCTCTGTTTGAATTTAATCTTTTCCCTTTGACTTTTTTTCATTTTTAAAAATATTTGAAAGAGAATAATTTCTAATAGATTTGTCCAAAATGTCCTTACAAAAATGTTTAAACATGAAAATTAGAAAGATTAATATGGAAAATTCTCTAGAAAAATCTCTTATCACAAACACTATTTTCATCCCTACTCATTTGAAAAAATTCTTTTTTCACTAAATCTAGAAAGGAGCTCAATTGTATGTAATTACGAATGATACAATCTTGATATTATAGTGGTATTCGTAATAGATAATCACTAAAAAAATCAAATATAGATATATAGAATCATGTGTGAGTTATGATTGCAAATGGAAAAGGGAATGCCACAAATGTAGTTGCATAAACCAAATAGATAAAGCTACAAAATAAAAAAATTAACAATTAATAGCGATATAATACCGTGAAAACAAAACTAAATAGAAAAATAAATATGCTTGACATATGATTGAGAAATGGAAAAGGCAATGCCAAAAATGTAATAGTAACACGTCCAACGACAAAGCTAATTTCGGGCACCACATCTCGTGCAACGCACGTGGCATTGCTAGTAAATGAATATATGACATCATTGAATAATGGGGGAGAAGCAAAAAAGCTACTTGAACTCTAATGCATTGTGTCAATTCAAATGCATATTTCTTAAAAGATTTGCATTCTCTTGAATTTTGAAATAACATACGAGCATCGGGTGTGCCACATCATGAAGTGAAGTTAAAGGTCGGAACACCCATCATGTTGTTGATGAATATAGACCAATCATCAGGTTTGTGCAATGGAACACGGTTGATAGTTACTCAAATCAACAATCATCTTATTCAAGCGACAATGCTGATATATTGGTCAAGAAGTTGTTATCACATGATTGTTGCTTACATCGTCAAATACAAGAATGCATTTTAAGTTTCAAAGGAAACAATTCCTAATTATGATTTCATATGCAATTACAATTAATAAAAATCAATGTCAATCTTTGTCGCATGTTGGGCTTTTACTTAAGAAGTTCGTATTCAGAGTTGTGGTAATTTCATGTGTTGCAAATAAAAAGTGAGTCAAGAATCAAGATCTTAAATTGCAATGAAGATCTTGCATTATTGAACCAAACTACAAATGTAGTTTATAAAGAAGTTTTCCAAACTTATTGTTACAATTTTTGTACGGATTACAACGGACGGGGAAGACGAGCGGACCTAGACAATAAAAATAAATAAAATTCTGAATTTATAACTTATTCAGAATATTACAAGATAAACAAAATTGAAAATAAATTTTAATGTCTTCAAACAACCTTGTTGTATGAGGACATTATGCACTGGACAGCGAGGACATTACGCACTAGACATCAAGGTCATTATGTCCTAGGGCAGAATGCATCGAGGTATTTATGAACTAAACCTGCAAAATAAAACACCGTGAAGGACATCGGAGTCACCGGAGCTGTCCTTAAGGTAGTAGTGCCCGCCTACCGCACCGGAAAAACGTGGGCACTCTCCTCCCAGGATGAAACCGCTTTCGTGTGTGGAGATTGTACGGATCAACCACACACCAACGAACAAGAACAACGTAGGAACGTTGACGACCAAAAAAAAAACTTTGAAAGGAATTGCCGGAAAGTTGGCCGAAACCAAGAAAATATGTCCCCTTTATTTTCCTCTTCCTTACGCATGAAACGCACCAAGAAAGGAGAGCCTCTTAATTTGATTTTATAACTAAGAAATTGAAAAGTGTAACTTACACAATTTATTCTTAGTATTAAACCATGGCATTTGTGGCACACTAATGGTGTGTTAATGGTGATTAATTAGCCATTAACACGCCAGTTACGCTGCGCTCCGTGTAAAATTTGTCCCGAATAATTGGAGATTAATGGCCAGTTAACTCCGTAAGAAAGGACTAATTTTAAACAATACGTAAAATTAATAATAATAGAAGATTGGTTCAGTAAAATTGCAAAATTGCAATCCTTACCATATTCTTCTATTACCGGATTAACTCTGAGAATCAATTTCTCATTCACCCTCTACCATTTTTGGCGTATAAATTATCAAAACATTTATCTCATTTAAGAGAACACGCGTCTATTAACTAATGGTTAAAACCGTTAGTGGACCTATTGACAAATATACCCAAATTGGTCCATTTAATGCCAATTAAAATGCCAAAAATTCCAACACTTATAACGTTATGAATCTACATTTTCTATCATTCTATATTTTTATTATTTAAGATTTGATTATATTTTTTATGTTTGTGTATTTTTATTATTTAGTAATTAGTACTCCCCCGTCCTCAATTTCATTACAAAATTGGATTTACGAGGCAAAATATTTCACTTTTTAAAATTATGTTATTTATAAATCGGTATATCGATAAAAAGTAAAAATTACATATTAAAAAACTATATCAAAAGTTTTACAAAATAAAAAGCGACACTGATATTTTATTTCATTAAATATTTAATGAAATCGCGTAAACAATAAAAATTATTTAGAAGAGAGAAAAGATTGTAATCAAATGGGGGAAGAAGAGGGTATATAATTTGGCCCTACCATAAAACGTTTAGAACGGGAAGTTACAGAATAGAAAACTGCTCCTGGGTACCTCATATTTTGAGAAACTAATTGCCAGGTACCTCACATTTTCAAAATATACTCTGAGGTACCTTCTATTTTGAGAAACTAACTATCGGGTATCTCACATTTTTAAAATATACTCCGAGGTACTCTCTATTTTGAGAAATTAACTATCGGGTACTTCATATTTTTTAAATATATATTCCAGAATACCTCCAAATATACATTAATTTTACGCTATTAATTTTAAAAAATAGGGGTTTGGAATTTTAAAAATAACATCTTTTTAATTTAAAGAAAATTGTACTCAATTTTTTTCAAATTAAAAAGATCTTAGTTTTTTTAAATTCCAAACCCATATTTCTTAAAATTAATGGCGTAAAACTAATGTATATTTGAAGTTATTTTTTAAAAATGTGAGTTTACGATTCGCTTGATCCGCTTGATCCGTTCTTCCGGACAGGGAATTATCGTCAATCATCGTTCATAACCCTAGATCCATAACAATCTATAGATTTAGATAGATACGCAACACATTCGTTCTTATACATACCGGGGGCCTTTTTACTAGTGGATTGATCTGCGGGAAATGGCGATTGTAAAGGCGGTGAACAAATCGGCGACGGTGGCGTTCGCGCCCGAATCACCGTACCTCGCGGCCGGGACCATGGCGGGAGCTGTGGATCTGTCATTCAGCTCAGCGGCCAATCTAGACATCTACAAGCTCGACTTCACCTCAGATGACCAGGAGCTCATATTGGCTGGATCTGCGGCCTCTTCTGAGCGCTTCAACAGGTTGTCATGGGGGAAGCGTCTGCCTAATTCAGAAGAATTTTCTATGGGGCTCATTGCTGGAGGCATGGTTGATGGCACCATTGGTTTGTGGAATCCCAAGCGTTTGATATCGTATATTCCATTCCATTTTTTCATGCTCTTATATCTTATTAGGTCAATTCAGTACTCAAAGATTTGAACTCTTACCTTATCATAGATAGGCACTTCAATTGTACTTTCTGTATGTGTTCTTGGTTGAGAGGTAACAGTGTGACACATTTCCCGTTTAGGAAACTTCAAAAGAATTAGAGTTATCAGACTTTCATTGGATTTAGAGTCACTTAGTGCAATATATCAGTGTCATTTTAGATCATTTTTATGAAGCAAGGGTTATGGAAAAGAAATGATTTTTGAAGGTAAAAAGGTCAACTTTTATTTGATTGTATTTTTTTTAAATCTAAGAAAGGAGTTTTTACTCTCATCAGAGGGTTATAGAGTATTTCTCTATGAGACCGTTTCTAAATTTATTATCACCAATTCACCATTGTTTTTTATGGATTATTTTCTAAGGATTTTTTTAAAGCAATAGATTCCCAATAAAAATTGTAACTTTTAAAAGACTGAACACAAATTTCAAATTCGTTTAAATATTTTACGGAGTATTTAATTACATGATTTATGATTTGCTAAATTCCTGATGCCTCAATTATATTGTTTTAATTTTTTAAACCAGCTCTGATGAGAATCAGGAAGGTACTGAAGCAGCTGGTGAAGCTTTTTTAGGTCCTCTTTTTGACCATAGTGGACCTGTAAGTAGCTTATTTAGCATGTCCCATGCTTTATTTCACTTATGGCATCCTTTTTGTTGGAAATAGGTGATAAGTTTGATAACAGAGAGAGAGTACTATGCTATTTTTTTCAGGTTCGCGGATTGGAATTCAATGTATTTACTTCAAATCTCCTTGCTTCTGGTGCTGATGAAGGCAAAGTCTGCATATGGGACATTGCAAATCCCGCTAAACCTACCCAAAAGGTCTGTAGCAAATTCATTAAAAAGAACACTCCACAAGCTTTTTTAAAATAAATTTATCAACACATTATCTTTTGGCAATGGTTTATGCCTCACATTCCCTGTCGACCAAAACAAGGAAAGGAAATTAAAAGGGAAAAGGCCACTCGAAACAAAGCATAAAAATGCACGGTAGAGACTTTATCCTCACCTGCAGAGAGTATGTTTTACATGGCTTGTGTGACATTTTACTCTTGTAATTTTAGAGTGACTTAGATTTGTACTCTCTCCGCCCATGCGATTCCAGCTTTTAACAACAATAGATATCTCTCTCTCATCTCCTCGAGTTTGGATGTACTATTCTTGGACAGATGGATCCCCTACAAAAAGATGAGGGTTGTCTCTGTCATCATTCATGCGAAATGTCTCCCATAATGAATGTTTGATGTCTGAGCTTACAGAGCAGCAAATAGAAAAAGTATTTATCAGTAGCTCCCAAAGCTCAACCACATAATTTCATTGTTTCTTGAACTATTTGAAAAAGTGAATGAGAATTTAAATATGGGATGAATGGAGTAATTAAAATTGCAAGCTCACACTTTCTTACTTTGACAATTCATGATGGCGATCTGGCATTGGTTGGTTTCCTATAAGACCGATTCAATATCACCTGACCCAGCTCCATATGCTTGTGGACTTATTATTCATTAGTGTCACAAATCTTGTGGCATGCTATGCAATGCTTACCTCAGAACAACTCTTAGAGTGTTTTTTTGTCGCTAGGTTTTCAGATGAATCAGAAGTTGGGCCAATGTAGAACTTTGCTATAGTTTATTTCACGTCGTGAAATGTAGTAGCTTACAAACCCTGACATTAAAATTTACAAAATTTATCCATGGTATTTGACAAGCTTAGGACTTTAACACTTGATTATAGGACAACTTTGCGATAATGCCAATAAGTAATATTCAAATGGCCGTTCCTCTACTTTACACGGATGAATTCATGATAAAAGTTAGAGGATGCCATCACTATCTTTTGATTTTTTGTGTGGTGGTTACCTTGCTCTTACTCAACAAATCAATGAGGCTTCAATCATTGTCGTCTGTATGAATTCTATATCAGTGAATGTGCTTGACAAACTTACGGAGTACATATTTAAACATAATTTCATTTCCTTAGTTGAAATGTGGAAATGGTAAATGTTTCACTGATGAAATCAAGTGTTCATTTCATTTTTAGACTAATACCGGAGTATTATTTAGAGTATCTCTTTTATTATACTCCCCCTGGGAAAGATCTTCCCAAATGCCCTTATTTTGTCGGAGAAAGATCTTCCAATTACCTTAAACATTTGAAATACTCCAACTCACTTTATTTATTACACCTCACCCAATTCTCCACCCACTTTCACCTTTTTTCAACTCTTAAAAATCGCGTAAAGTCCACTTGGGAAGTTCTTTCCTGGACAGAGATAGTATAAAAGTGTAGTCACAAATGCACCACGATAATTTAAAATGCCCTGACCTCTATTCACAAAAAACACACACATCCATCCCAAAAATGGCTGTCACACTATACTAATTTCACGTCAAAACTAAAAATATTGAAAATTACATGAAGGTTTTAAATAATTTTTTAAAACAATGAATCATTTTAGTGGGATTCTTCATTGAATGATCTAGGAGGAACTGAATGTTTCTTTGATTGGAACTTGTCAAAGCTTACTTCTCTATCCTATTGTGTCACACTGTCATGTTTAATTTTAAGGGGACACTGCTAAATTTTTATGTAATAATTTTGAGTTGTTTCCGTAGGGTGGTGGACGTGTATCATCAACGCAAAGTGAAATTTCATATATATCTTGGAACAGAAAGGTTCAACAAGTATTGGCATCCACATCAGTCAATGGAACAACTGGTGAGCAAGAAGATATGATAGTAACTTTCCATTTACTGATGTAATGAGCCACTCATTCTTTTCATTGTCTTTTTAACTCAGTGGTTTGGGATCTTAGGAGGCCAAAGCCAGTGATTAGGTATGAACTCTTTAAATAACCACAAAAACTTTCCACTGTACATTATTGATCCGTAATTAACCCATATTATTTGGTATCATGCAGTTTCTCAGATTCTATTAGAAGACGCTCTTCAGTTTTGCAGTGGCATCCTGATTTTGCAACTCAGCTTATTGTAGCATCAGATGAAGATAGTTCTCCTGCACTTACTGTATAGTTTCTCTCATTTCTTGTTATTTTACACATCTATCACAATTCACTATTCAACGATTCAAAGTTTAAGTTGCAACTGGTTACACATTGTTACAGATGTGGGATATGCGAAATGTAATGTCTCCGATGAAAGAGTTTGTGGGGCATACCAAGGGTATGTTCAATAAACACCTTCCCCTCTTCGAATGGCTTGTGTTTGACCTCTCATAGTCTTATCAAACAAAATTTGGGCAGTTCAATAAAGATCTTAGAACTGCATGTGTGTGTGTCTCTATACACACACACACACACACATACATACATGCATACATACATACACACACACACATATATTTATACATACATATATATATATATATATGTATGTATGTATGTATATGTATGTATATATGTATGTATCAATTTTCATTTGCTCCCTGAGAGAGTTTCTTAAATATATTCCCAATGTCCCAATTTAATAGTCCACATCTGATTCGGCACATAGTTTAAGAAAAGTGAAGTTGTGTGGTTAAAAGTGCTGCATAAGAGATAAAAAATATGTGCCACAAAACCTTTCCAAAACAGAAAGAATACTATTTTTTAGGATGTCCCAAAAAGGAAATGAGTACTGGTATTTTGGGACGTAGAGAGTACATCTCATACCTTTTTAACCCCCCAGCGCGCGTGGAGACTCTTTTTAAGAGATCCCCTAATCGTTCACATTAAAAAAATGTTTAGTTTTTTCTAGCGTTTGCCAAAGCACCTAGCTGAGTTTTAGAGTGATTTAGCTGCCTATGGATTGAATCATGTCATATGTCCTGAAGACTTCCAAGAATATGTTTTTGTTTCTGTTTTGTTTGTTGATTGCCTTTGAATGACCCTCTTGTTCGTGGGTAAAACATGAGAAAAAATGATGCAACTGATACAATAATTTGCCCTTTTATGAACCGAAGGCAAAGCTTGCCCTTTGAATTTTAGTTTTGCTTGCCTTCCCATATTGTTATTAATGTCCTAACTTCCACTTTTATGCTGTCTTTATTTTCTCTTTATTCCCACGATATTTTCATTACCCTGATTTTGTCTATTAATGCCTTTGTTGCTGCTTGTCAGGTGTCATTGCAATGTCATGGTGTCCCATGGACAGTTCATACCTCCTTACTTGTGCAAAAGATAATCGCACTATATGCTGGGATGTCTCATCTGGAGAGGTGACAACTCTTTGCATTTTGTGTGTAAATATTTTTAATTCTTGTGGCATACCTGCTTTTTTCCCTCTTCTTTTATAGATACTGTGCAGGTTTGTAGAAACAGCCAATAACTTGTCAATCAGCAATTAAGTTCTCATTTTTTCTTTAAAAAGTTAATTTCATCTGTTCCTGCAGATTGTGTCTGAATTACCATCAGGAACTAACTGGAATTTTGATGTGCACTGGTATCCCAATTGTCCTGGTGTCATATCAGCTTCTTCATTTGATGGAAAGATTGGGATTTATAATATCGAGGTCTGTTCATCTTTTGATTTTTTACAACATTAGTTGACAAATTGTTAGAATTTGAAAGGGCGAGCAGCTTCGTTCTTGTCTGGATCTTTCTCTTTATACTCGATATCTGTCTATGATTTTTTTAGCAGTGGCTTCCAATTCTTTGTTTGTTGGCAAGGAAATTGACAGCTGTGGAATTTTAATTATTGATTTATATCTTCATTTCACAGGGTTGTGATCGGTATGGTGCCAAAGAGGGAAATTTTGGAGCAGGTAAAATAGTTACTGACACATTATTCTATATTATAGCATATTTTTTATTTATAGAAGAGATGTTAGTATAACTTAAGGTTACAGTGTATAACTAAAGGTAAGTGTTAGTATTATTGTTATTTTGATTTGAGGTTTATCAAAGTACATGAAATTTGCCCTTCTTAGAATATGGCTTCTATTGTAGCTAATATTTTACTCCCTTTGTCTTTGAATGAACTTTGCACTTTTCTTTTTTGAACGTCTAAAAATCAACTTTCCACTTCTCCACTTTCTCTTTTTTAGGATATAAATATGTGGATATCATTGATTCTCTCTCTCTCAAATAAATTTCAGCCACTCACTCTTCACCAAATTTTTTCCAACACTTTTATTAGTTTTCGTGAAGTCAAATTGTTAGGTTCATTGCAGACAGAGGAGATATGTGTTATCTTCTTTTGCTTCCATTGTTTAGCATAGATTTTTATCAACTTAACAATTTTCCACTATGAAGCAACTCCTTTGAGAGCCCCAAAATGGTACAAACAAGGAGGAGGAGTATCATTTGGCTTTGGAGGGAAATTGGTTTCTTTTCGTTCCACTAATGTCTCAGAGAAACCATCAGAGGTGCGCTGAGTAGGTTAGGTTTATATTACTGTATCTATTCTTCTTATACCTTATTGGACTTTACTCTGTATGAAGTGCTTTGTTTTCTAGGTGGAAGTCAAAACTGTGATTACTGAGCACGGTTTAGTAAGTTCATCCGAGTTCGAGACTGCAATCCAGGATGGAGAGAGATCTCAACTCAGGCTCTTTTGTGAAAAGAAATCCCAGGAATTAGAGTATGGCATTTCCATGAGTTCCGATGCAAATATTTTTCTTCATCCATTGATCCATTTTTAATACTTTGCATCATTCTTTTATTTGAATAGATCTAGTGATGAAAGGGAGACTTGGGGTATTCTGAAGGTTATGTTTGAAGAAGAAAGGACTGCAATGATCAAACTACTTTCACACCTTGGTTTTAGCCTGCCTGTAGAAGAAAAAGATATCTCTGAACAGGTATCTGCTCTTGGTCTAGGTGAAAGTCACATGGCTCATCAACAAAATACTGTGGTGGAGGAAACCGCAGGACAGCCATTTGATAATGAGGAAGATTTCTTTAATAACCTCCCCAGTCCAAAAACTGACACTCCTATGTCAACCTCTGGAAATAATTTCTATACTAATGAAGCCGGTCCAGGATGGGAGGATGCTCCACCTGAGATAAATGGATTAGAGGACACAACTGCCTCATCCTCTGATGATGATGCTATTCTGCGTGCCTTGGTTGTTAAAGACCTCAAGACTGCTGTAACACACTGCATATCTGCTGGTAGAATCACTGATGCACTTGTTATCGCACATGTTGGTGGTCCTTCCCTGTGGGAAAAAACCCGAGATCAGTACCTTAAGACAAGCCGATTGCCTTACCTTAAGGTTATAAAGTTTTATGGCATTCTCTTCCCTTATTATTATTATGGCATTATTATAGTTGTTTTTGTACTCCCCGAATCAAGTCCCACACTTACCTTGCTTGGGCTCATATCCTTTTAAAGGTTAGGTTACACACCCACCCCTCCCAAATCCCATTTTTTGAATTTAATTGGACTGGTATTATTGTTTTATCATTTCTATATAAATCTCAATGATACGAGTTCATTTTCTTGATTTGCATGCTATAAGCAAGTGAAATCCTTATTTTGAGGCTGGGTGAATACTATTGCTAATATTAATATATTATTGCTGTTAACTTTGTCTTTTTGGACCATATTTTTTTAGGTAGGGGTAATGTCTGCCACATCCTGAGACCCCACTTTTGGGATTGTATTTGGTCTGATTTTTCCATTGTTGTATTGTTAATTACTCATTGTTGTTGTTGTTGTTGTTGTTATTGTTATAAGTTTTTGTAATGTGTCCCCATGCGCACATGATATAAGAGCAATTACTAATTTACGATGTTCAATTTTTGAATTTAATTTAGAAATTGATAATTTCAAGAAAAAAATAGGCGTGATTTGATCTATTGGTACGACGCTCTCTAAAATTTATGCATTTATCACCATTATCAAGAATAATTTAATACTTCGTAATACTTAAATTACAATACAATAAAATTATTATGATCATTGGTCATTACTTGCTTCTTTTCATGTGCTCCATACACTCCACGAAAACTCTATTACTGTTATTATTATTTTTC